AAATTAAAAGATTTTTAAAAAAAATTGTTTTTATTTTGTTTCTCTGGTCAGAAAAATTCAAGTATAAGTCAAGGGGCAGCAAAAGACAGAGAGAGAGAGAGAAAAAAGTGATCGATCGACCACTTATATAGTGTAGTGTTTGTGTGTGTGTGTGTTTAAACGGTGGCCATCTGGGGGCACATTAATTATAAGAATGAAATGGCCGACAAGTAGACCCGTTCCCGAAAATATATTATTATTACTATTATTAAGCTTTCAATTCAATTAATGWTTTATAATTATTTAGCGTTTTATATGTTAATTATAGTACCGGTGCTGACATCAAGAGTCATGTGATTGAAGCGTTAAGTTTGAGTGAGTCTGCATTGAGAGTCAGTCGTGTGTTAGACTTTGAAGAGAGCGGTTGTTTAATAGGCCTTAAAATCAGGTCAGCGATCGGTAAGCCTTGACTCATGAGGACAGCACCGGAAGCATTCATCTAATCAATTAATATTATTATATCATTTAATAACTTTTAACTATTTTGTATTATATTTATTCATATTATGTTAATAAACTATTTAACCATTGATTGCTGTCTGAGTCATGTGAGGAGTGCATCGATCGTGAAGACACCGACAGAAGCCATAGACTGAAGCCTCAGAAGATATGAAAGCCGAAACCGGAGCCGTAGACTAATGCTGTAGGATAAGACACGTGGTGTCAGCCCTCGCTTCCCGTTTAGCCTACGCATAAGCGTTACGCACACACCCGAGCGCAGTGGTCATCCGGCAGTTGGTGGACCAAGTTGTTAGAGTAACTGACAGGTAGTCGAAAAGTCCCCTTACCTACGCCTGGACACGCATGCTAGCACATGCACGTGTAGCAGATCCATGCGTTACAATAATATGCGAATTTTCGCTATGAAAGCTAAACGACTACTACTGTTGCGGAAACGGTAGAGTCGTTGATATAATACAATGCTGTCGCTGTTGATTAGGTGTTGAGCGCCAGCTGTTAACACAATATAATGAACCGTTTGATGTTTTTTTTTGTTGGTTTGAAGGCATCAAACTTGTCAAAGCCCTAACCAAAATGACAATTTTTGAATGTAATTAATTGACTAAAAACTTTTAAAAATTAATAAAAAAAATATATATATTTCTTTATCTCCTGCCATTGATATTTGGTGTAGTTATACCCCCTCCCCCCTAAACAATAAAACCCATACTCTCTTTCTCTCTCTTTCTCTCTCTTTCTCTCTCTTTCTCTCTCTTTCTCTCTCTTTCTCTCTCTTCTCTCTCTCTCTCTYTCTCTCTTTCTCTCTCTTTCTCTCTCTTTCTCTCTCTTCTCTCTCTCTCTTCTCTCTCTCTCTCTCTCTCTCTTCTCTCTCTTCTCTCTCTCTCTCTCTCTCTCTCTCTCTCTCTTTCTCTCTCTTTCTCTCTCTTTCTCTCTCTCTCTCTCTCTCTCTCTCTCTCTCTCTCTCTCTCTCTTCTCTCTCTTTCTCTCTCTTTCTCTCTCTCTCTCTCTTCTCTCTCTCTCTCTCTCTCTCTCTTCTCTCTCTCTCTCTCTCTCTTTCTCTCTCTTTCTCTCTCTTTCTCTCTCTTTCTCTCTCTCTCTCTCTCTCTCTCTCTCTCTCTCTCTCTCTTCTCTCTCTTCTCTCTCTCTCTCTCTTTCTCTCTCTTTCTCTCTCTTTCTCTCTCTCTCTCTCTCTCTCTCTCTCTCTCTCTCTCTCTCTTTCTCTCTCTCTCTCTCTCTCTCTTTCTCTCTCTTTCTCTCTCTTTCTCTCTCTTCTCTCTCTTTCTCTCTCTCTCTCTCTCTCTCTCTTTCTCTCTCTCTCTCTCTCTCTCTCTCTCTCTCTCTCTCTCTCTCTCTCTCTCTCTCTCTCTCTCTCTCTCTCTCTCTCTCTCTCTCTCTCTCTCTCTCTCTCTCTCTCTCTCTCTCTCTCTCTCTCTCTCTCTCTCTCTCTCTCTCTCTCTCTCTCTCTCTCTCTCTCTCTCTCTCTCTCTCTCTCTCTCTCTCTCTCTCTCTCTCTCTTTCTCTCTCTCTCTCTCTCTCTCTCTCTCTCTCTCTCTCTCTCTCTCTCTCTCTCTCTCTCTCTCTCTCTCTCTCTCTCTCTTTCTCTCTCTCTCTTTCTCTCTTTCTCTCTCTCCTTCTCCCGCAAAGTTGTTGATACCGATCATGATTTTCTAGAATTTTAATCTATATATATATATGCGATATATATATATATGAGATATATATATGAGATATATATATATCCGATATATATATATATATATATATATGAGATATATATATATATATGAGATATATATATATATATATGAGATATATATATATATATGAGATATATATATGCGATATATATATTATAGCGGTCAGATATACATAACGTAACTATTTGCAGTTTAATAATTACAATAATTATAAATTGAATTTTAAGTCATTTATAAGTTAGACGAAAATGATTTGATAATCTATAATTATAATTGACACTATAAATGACAACATATAAAATTTAATCAAAAATCGGCTCGCCGGGTATATGATTAAATTTAATTATAAAATTTACTATTTAGATACTTCAAATATAAAACGTCATTTAATAATAACACTTAGTATACCAATTAAGTTTATGTGACGTATATATTTGCCATACAATAGTAATACAAAATATAAATTTAATTTTAGGTCATTTATAGTTTAGACGAAAATGTTTTGATTATTTATAATAATAATTTAGACTATAAATGACAACATATAAAATTTAATTAAAAATCGGCTCGCCGGGAATTTAATTAAATTTAATTATAAAATTTACTGTGTATTTACTTTACATATAAAACGTCATTCAATCACACTAACTATTAAGTAAATATATGACATAACTATTTGACTACAATAGTAATACAAAATATAAATTTAATTTTAGGTCATTTATAATTTAGACGAAAATGTTTTGATGATCTATAATTATAATTTAGACTATAAATGACAACATATAAAATTTAATCAAAAATCGGCTCGCAGGGAATATGATAAAAATTAATTATAAAATTATAGTATCACATATGTAGCACTATTACAATAAGAGAATGACATAATTTTGAATGCTTTACAATTTAGACGAAAATGATTTATTAGTCTAAATTTATAGTTTTTATTATCAGTAACAATATACTAAATTTAATTGAAAATCGGCTCGCCGGAAATATGATTTATTTAATTTTACATACTAACCCAATACATAATAAATAACATACAAAAAATATTATATATGAATAATTGTCTACATAGTTATGAATGCATTTTTATTATCACATATAAAAATACATTATACACATGTAAACTCTATTATAAGCTATGCGAATAATATGCCCATAGAAATAACATTAACGGCATATTTACTATTATAAAATGTGGGTTTAGTATTCCCATATAAATAACATTATACATACTTTAGTACAAACATATAGGTTCAGTTTACATACACATATAGTGTTAGTTATTTTAGTGACGCACTTGCGTTTCACAAAATACTATTTAATCATTGGGCAAAACATACAGGGGTAAACAAGTGTTATAATTATTTTATTACCTATATTTTAACATTAAGTAATTAATCATTTTCTATGTCTACTTGGGTATTATTACTAAATACATATAGGTATTTGCCTTTAGGTGGTAGTGTGCGGTTGAGCACAAATGGGTTGAGTTTAGGGTAACCAATAGTATTATAGTAGTAGTGTTAGAAAAAGTTGTTAACTAATGTGAGTGCAGAGTTGTGCTGTTTGCGCACGCAGAAGGCTGTGGCTTATGCAGCGCTCAAACTGCAAAACTCTCAGTCGAGTGAAAGACTCGACACAAGTGATCTGACTCTCAAACAGAGTGGTTGTACATCTGCTACTGTTATACATTGTACTGTATAACACATAATGTATTATTTTATTTTATAAGTGTTTTGAATAAAACTTTAGTTTTGTCTTAAGTACAGTCTATTGATTGGGCCTGTGGCCCATAATATCAACTACTCTGTCTTCATTTCACTTCTGGGCTCTCTTGCCTTAATTGCAGTACTGGCGATTATTGGGACAACATCATTGGCCGATAAGTTCCTGCACCGCTGATTGCCGATCCATTGATGTCAACACATTAACTGTCGTACCATTCATTGTCGTACCGTTGGCCGCTATACCATTGACTGCCGTACCGTTTGCCGCTATACCATTGATGACAGCACATTGACTGTCATACCTTTGATGCCGTGCCATTAACTGCCATACCAGTGAATGCCGTATCATTGATGCCATTTTATTGACTGTCGTATCATTGACTGACTGCACCGTTGACTCCACATCCAACACTGGCTCATAAACTAATGCATAAGGTCAATCTATTGTAATTACTTATATTGTACGGACGATTTTGGACCGGACTGTGTCCACATCCACATCACCACCGCACTGTTGGCACCGCACTTTTAGCTCAACATATTGGCCAACACAGCACCGTTTTATACATTGGCCAACACAGCACCGCTCAGTTCATTGGCCGTCAACACATTTAGCTAATCATAGCCGTCACCGCTCAACGCCAGATCCGTATCGTGGCCGTAGATGTCCTCAACTACATGGGTGTCGGCGCTTACTAATCACTAGGACCGACAACACTGGTTCCGATAACGTCGAGATCAGCGCCGGACACCCTAAGCAACCCATCCAACCATTACAATATATATGCGATATATATATGCGCTATATATACGGTATATATCATATAATTTTTTTTTAATTATAAAAACCAATTTACCGCTAACACCGTACGAGTTTTACTAAAAAATAATTATTATTGTATTTACAGGTAATATCACCTGTATTTTCCTCCTTAAAAATAATTTTCCCATAAATATTTTTTAGGTGGAATATTCCCATTCAATATAGATGTCGCCTAAACTCCAATAATAAACAAAATATGATATCATTTTACAGTTTGTGTAAAAAAACTAAAAAATACAAACAAACAAACAGTTTTGTATTGACTTTTTTATATTACATTTACATAAAAATATATTTACCGTAAGTTTTTTGAATATATTATAATATATGATATCCTATTGAAAAAAAATTACTAAACAATTTGATTGCATATATAAAAGCTTACGGAAAGCCTAACGGAAACGATAGATAGACAGACAGTGTAACCGACAATTAAAAAACAGACAATAATGACATCAATGACCAGTAGATTACCGCCGATGACGACGACGACGACGATGAAGACAAATAAGGATTCGTTCGATCGGTTCGGCGACGACTTGACGGGTCTATTGTTAGCTAAGTTGCCGACACTCGCGGACCGTATGCGCTTGGAATGTGTTTGCCGTCAATGGCAACGATTGGTTTACAACGGACAACGGGAACTGATTATCGACAAACAATTTGTGGATAAATGGTTGGGTATAGCGGGTACTGTTTGGCCACAATATTATTGGCACATTAGGCGCCGATCAGCCGATAGGCGGCGCAAAAAATATTTGGACTACAAGTCGCGGTTGTTAGCCGTTACCAAAAAGTTGTTGCGCTTACGGGCCATTAAACTGGTCAACGATGATATCGACCAGATTATGACATTATTGGTCAATAGCTACTACATCAACACCACTACCGACGGCAACCGTGGCCTCAATAATATCAAGTCATTGGAAATACATTCGCCATATCTGAACAGTCAAACAGATCTCCAAAGTCTGATCGTGAAAATCGGCAAATTTCGCCAACTAAGACATCTGGCCATTGATTTATCGTATAGTTTGACAACCATTTTGACTGATGATATGCTCAAAACTTTGGCCGACAATTGTCCAGCAATCCGGTCGCTAACCGTTCGGGTCTATTGTTCGCAGCAATCGATAGCTGAGAATCTGCTCGAGTCGGGTGTCCAACAGTTCCCGCTGTTAGAGAGACTACAGTTAGGTATTTATATGATTAACACCGATCAGCCACTGTCGGTAAAATCATTGGCCAACGACAACAATAACAACAACTGTCCCCGACTTAAGCACCTGTCGCTCGAGTGTTCCCTCGATATGGACTTTACGGATATCGATCTGATTAATCGGCAATTAATACGACCGGCCAGTGTCCGCAAAGTTGATTGCGATCATATATTTCTAGTATTATAATCTATAATATATATATTAAAAAATAATTATTTATTTTTTTTTAATGACCAATTTACCGATAATTTAGGTTAGATTAAGATATTTATTTTTTATATGTATTTCTACTCAATATTTAAAATAATTTAAAAACTATTATTATTTTTTTTAAAAAAAGATTATAAATCAGTAATTAAAAGCTACTATAATATTATAATTACCGTAAAAACAATTTATTATTAGTATTCAATATCAAACACATAGATTTTATTGATAATATAAATAAACTTATTTTTTTTTTGGTATAAATCAAATTATTAAAAAATTATTATTAATATATAATCAATCAAATCATATAATAATTGATAAAATATATATATATATAAAAAAATCCAATATTTTTATAATAGAAAACAATACAGAATTATTATTTATACCACATTTACTAATCATATGTTATCAATATTTTAAAAAAATAATAATAATAATTAAAACTAATACTAATAGTAATTATGATAATAAAAATATACCCGAATTTTACACAATACTAGAGTAGAGAGAGAGAGAGAGAGAGAGAGAGAGAGAGAGAGAGAGAGAGCAGAACATAGAAAATAAAAAAAAATTTGTATTAAAAAATATGAAAAATATATTTCACAATAAATCAAATTAAACAACAAAAAAACTAATTAATAATACATTACATAATTAGGCGGTAATTAAAAAACTAATTACCGGTAAACTACCGGTAAAAACAAAATACTTAAATAATTACTACACTCTGTAATACATAATAATAATAATTGTAGTGAAAAATACAAAAATCAATTCAATCAAATTGATTGAAAAAATCAAACAAAATTTATGACACTGTGAGGGACAGTCACTACAATCACTACTAATACTACTACCAGTGCTACCAATACTACTCCTAACTACTAGTCCTCTAGTGTAACATTACGGAACAGATAGGACATGGATTCTTTGTTATGTATACGTCGGATGGCTTCGGCCAACAAAACGGATATATCGATTGTCTTGATTTTGTTGCACTGCATCTTCTGGATCTCGTGCGGTACAGTATTGGTGACCACTACTTCGTTGATAGCCGACTCCTCGATCAGCCGGGGAGCGTCGTGACTCAGCAGGCCGTGAGTGGCCAACACATAGATCTTGTAGGCACCCCGGTCCTTGAGGACATCGGCAGCGGCAACATAAGTCTCGACATCGTCGATCATATCGTCGACCATAATGGCTATACGGCCGCCAACATCGCCTACGACGGTCATCGGCGGCTTGTTTTTGGCGGCCAGTACTGGCATCGGATCCAAACCCATATCAAATGTTTTGAATGTTTCCTCGAGTAGTGGCGGCGAATAGCGGCCGTCCACTTGATCCGATTCCGATTCTTTTTGTTCGCCATGGAGTACGGCTATACCCAGCCGTAAGCGTTCGGCATAGGATGTAGCCTTTTTGGCCGAACCGGGATCTTTGGCAACGATAACGGCATTACGATAGTCGGGTATCTGTTCCTGGATGTACTGCAGGAGGAATGGCGATGCCCGGAGATTGTCGACTGGTATGTCAAAGAAACCCTGGACCTAAATCAGATCAGTATAAAAAACAATTAGTTTTTAGTGGTTAGGGGGGGGGTGGGTTACTAGTCATCAGTGTATTAAAAAATAGTGTAGATACAGATAGCGTATGCATTTTTTAGGGGGGGGGACAGTAGTATTCAGGGTTAGAGAGACAGGTAATCATCAATTGTTAGTTTATATCCATATATATCCAATATCTACAGTAAACCATACGTTCAATTTATAATATAAAAAAATGACCATGGCCATATAATTGTAGATAATATTAACAACTCAACATTATTGTAATTGATTATATATTTTTTGATTAAAAAATTATAAAAAAAATTAACTAGATTAAATAGAATCATCGATATAGTATAGTTGTGACTTATCTAGTTAATTTTTATAATTAATAAAAAAAATCAATCAATCAATTACAATAATGTTAATATTATCTACAATTATATTACCTTGATCATTTTTATAAATTAAACCTATGGTTTACTGTAGATATTGGATATGATATATATATTTAAACTAACAATTGTTGATTACCTGTACTAACCCTGAATACTACTGTCCCCCCCCTAAAAATGCATACACTATCTGTATCTACACTTTTTAATACACTGATGACTAGTAACCCCCGCCCCCTAACCACTAAAAACTAACTAATATTATCTACAATTATATGACCATGGTCATTTTTTAAAAATAAATTGAACGTATGGTTTACTGTAGATATTGTGTATATATATATATATATATAAATTGATTGATACAATTGATTACCTGTACTAACCCTGAATACTACTGTCCCCCCCCCTAAAAAATGCATACACTATCTGTATCTACACTTTTTTTAATACTACGGCTAGTCATCGATGGTCAATGCAAACCAACCAAAACCAACCTCTTTCTGGTGCATATCCATTGTTATGATATGTGTGAACCCAGCTTTGCACATAAGTTTGGCCAACAGTTTGGCCACAATTGCGCCGCGTTTACGCATCTTCGACTGTTTGCCGTACGGCAGGTACGGTATTACGCCCACGATATTCTTGGCCGACGATGTTTTGCAAGCGTAGGCCATAATCAACAGTTCCATAATATTGTTGTTGACATCTTTGCCGCCCGTCTGGATCAGATAGCAGTCGCGGCCGCGAACCGAATCGCCAATGTCCAGTACAGTTTCCCGATTGATCGAATGGTACAACGATTGGCTGGCCAATCGTACGCCCAGCCGATTGCTAATCTCTTTGGCCAACTCTTTGTGCGAATTTCCGGCTATCAGTATCATATCGGCGGCAGAAGTTCCGGCCATTTTTTGGTGTCCGGCGGCGGTGTGTGTGTGTGATGTCAATGGATAATAATTGGTGTCCAACCAAATATGTCCACACAATCGGCGGCGGTGGCGGTGTGTGTGATGTCAATGGATAATAATTGGTGTCCAACCAAATATGTCCACACAATCGGCGGCGGTGGCGGTGTGTGTGTGATGTCAATAGATAAATGGTGTCCAACCAAACAAATTGTGTCCACACAATCGGCGGCGGCGGCGGTGTGTGTGTGATGTCCACTCAAACAAATTGTGTCCACACAATCGGCGGCGGCGGCGGTGACCACTCGGAAATCTCGGGGGGGGTTTTTATACAAAACACGGTTAGTTATAGCGGACAACCTGTTTGTTGTGTTATTATTGTTGAAGTGTTTGTTGTTATGATTTTCATGTTATTAAAGCACACTATGTATTGGATATATATATTGATTATATTCAAAACCAAAACAAAATTTATAGACACACCACACATTGTCCATAGATTTATCATAGATTACATATAACATATATATGCATACAAATAAAAAAAATAGTGTATATAAAATAGCTATATAACATGTAGTATATGCTATGTAAAAAATTCCACGCCCACCCCCCTTAAGCATTAAATGCACTAATATTACTACTGCATATACACTACTGTGTTAGTGGGCGCTGATTATTGTTTTGGTTTTGAATATAATCGTACAGTTTTTATCGTACTGTACTGTACTGTATATATATTTATATATATACACTTCAAGGACACACACATGTACTGCAAATACATAAATACTGTAAACTTTCGCTTTTTTTCAATTTTAATCAACTAATAATTTAATTGAAATATTATTTTTAGTATTAATTAATTAATTGTAAAAATAAATAATAATCATTTATTGTTAAATTATCTAGCTAAAACAATAAATTAGATTATTTTTTTTTAAATATAGTTTCAAAAACAACAAAAAATGTTTTTAGTATTTTATTTTACTAATAAATAATATATTATCAATATATCAACTATTTATTTAATTAACAACAAAAAAAAGTTTGTTAAACTGTATATACATTTTGATTTTTAGTTAATAATATTTTTTTTTAAATTATATATAAATTTATATATCATAAGCAAACACTTATGATAATCATATGATATAATATAACTTATAGTAAAATATCAAGTTTTACTAATACATTATGTATTAATACATAATATAAATCAATACAATTAGAGTCGGTCTTGAAATATATATAGTAATCGTTATGGACTTTAATACTGTTTGCAATGCATTTAAAAAAATGCATTCAATTATAACACTATAGTGTTTGGAAAAATGCTTTAATAATAATAAAAATATATATCAATAATAATAATAATAATAATAATAATAATAATAATAATAATAATAATAATAAAATACATATTAAAAATGTAAACACATTGCTATTTACTGGCAGTTATAATATGTGTTTCAATGATTATAATGATATAAATATGTATTATAAGTAAATATTAACTACTTTTTCGTTGTGTAAACATTTTTGTGATAATAATAATAATAATAATTATTATTTAATATAATTAATACATAAATACATAATAAATATCATAATATATGAAACACAACAACAAACAAAAAAAAACCATTTGATTGACGACTCAATCAATTGATTGATTGAATAATAATCATTGCAAAAGACAACAGACATATCACCGATCGGATCAATTTGAAGAGTCAATCGCCCGCGACTACCGATCATCACTGCCGACGCCGCAGCCGCTGACCCACTGACCGACGCCGCTATCAAATCAATAGATGTATTGAAAACCAAACAAACTCTTCTTCTTCAAGACATTAACCACACAAGAGATCTAGTCTTCACATCCGAATGGTATATCACATCCGCAGCTGATATATCATATGTCAATGTCATCCACTGTCCAGTCGGCCACCAACGCATGTCCGCACAATACGGTAGCGACGGCGCCGTCGCCGCCGATATGCGGCGGCAACGAGTGTGTAATTGGCTGTAACGGTGGCGCCGGTAGTGGTGGTGGTAGCGGTAAATCGTCGCCAATGGTCGATACGGTTCATCAGCCGACTATACTATTGCGCGGATCAATTGCCCGATCTATCTATGAACGTATGCAACGCGAAGAACAACTGAAACAGTTTGATAAGACCCGATGGTATTCGGTTGATCTGCCGATGATTGACGAACAAAATCCCGAACTTAGCGGCCAATTCGTTCAGATGGACTACGATTGCCAGACCAGACAATTCATTAATCAGTGTTACGAAAAATCTGACCAATATTTTACACATTTATTCCAATCGATTGCCCGAACCATACTCTGTCTGTTTATGTCCAGTACTTCCGTTAACGGACTGTTGGGTCGCGGATCGATGTTTGTGTTCAGCGACCAACAGTTTCGCACACTTATCGGCGATTATGATGGCCGCCGCCAATTGACCACCGATTATGACTGTCATAATACTAGACAACATTCAAACAGCAACAACGGCTTCTGTACGGCGCGGCCGCCGCCACCGATAATCAATAGCCAGACGACTATTGGTGGTAATAATAATAATAATAATGACCAGAAAACCGAAAGAATACTGTTAGATATCGGTGCCGGCGATGGAAAAGTTACCGAAATTATGGCCAAATATTTCGATAAGATTTATACGACAGAGATATCGTCGGTAATGAGGAAGATATTGCTGAAGAAAGGTTACCATACTTTAGACATCGATGAATGGCATGAATACGGACTGGAATTTGATGTGATTGCGTGTCTGAATGTATTGGACAGATGTGACCGACCGATGACAATGTTAGAGCAAATGAAATCAAGTTTGCGACCGAAATCGGGTCTAATAGTGTTGGCATTGGTTTTGCCGTTCAGTCAGTACGTCGAGGTTAACAATGATAATCAAGGGGCGGCTCAAGTAGGCATAAACCAACGGAACAGTTACCCATTGATGGCCATACGTTTGAGGAACAGTTAACATCGTTTGTCGACAATGCGCTGACGCCTAATGGCCTTCAAGTGGTTAAGTGGACTAAATTGCCGTATCTTTGCGAGGGTGACCTCGAACTGACCTACTATTGGCTATACGATGTGGTACTAGTGCTCAAAACATTTGAAGAGGATTAACCTTAATATTATAATTATTGTTGTTGTTGTTATACAATATATATATATATTTTAGTGACCAATAAATCAATTTTTTTTAGTATAATTTTTTTTGTTTTGTTTAAAAAGTACAGTAATATAAACAATAATATTATTATATAAAAAATAGTTATATAAATATTATCTCATAATTATTGTTGACATCAAAAAAAATAAATAAATATATTTTACTGTATATAATATAATATATAAATAATGTTTTAACAACAAAATTATATATATATATATATATTAGATAATTAATTGTGTTATTTATAAAAAAAATTATACTAAAATCTAACAACAAAAACAACAACAAATTTATAATCAATGATATTTTATTTTAATTTATATACATTTACTATATATTTATATATTTTTTAGTTAATTTAAATTTATTTTTATTTATTATGATATATAGATAAATAATTATTTATAATCACACACACACACACACACAATATTTTGATGATTATTATTATTATTATAATTATAATTATTTTTTTTATTACCGGTAGTATCATTATGTGTAATAATTTAACGGTACATATATTTTGATATACATTAAATATATATATATATATATACAATATATACCTGATTACTATAAAAAAWTTTAAATTGGTTTATAATTTAGTTATTATTATTATTATTATTATTACACTTTTTTTGTAATTGGTTTCGCTATTTATATATATATACAGTATATATTTTTTTAGAAATTTAATTTATTTTTTTATATAATTATTTTTTATTGCATTTTTATTATTTATTTAATTATTATATATTATATATATATTGAATCTATGTACTGGATAATTATTATATGCAATTATTATTATTATTATGAAAAATTAAATATATATATATATATATATATATATATATTACTGTATTAGGAATAAAAATAATAAAAAATAATAAATAATTATTAAAAATTATTACTTGAAAAAAAAACAATTTATTTCTTTATACACACAMACTAATAATAATAATCATTTTGTATTATACTATATATTATTCTTTTTTTTTTTTTTGTAAAAATAAATTTTTACTTTTAACGAAACAATAATAAACAACAAAAATCATATATAATTTAGACATTTCAAGGCTTAACTAATTATTATTATATGTATTCATAAAAAATAGTTAATAAAATAATAGTCTCTCTCTCTCTCTCTCTCTCTCTCTCTCTCTCTCTCTCTCTCTCAGACACTATAATTAAAATAAATSAAATTATTATTATCATTGAAATTTTTAGTATTAAAATCAAAYAAAATAAAAACATAAATATTTTTCAAAAATTTAATATAATATATATATATATATACTGTATTTCATATTAATTTTATTTTCAATTTTGTTGTTATTATCTAAAAAAACAATTTTTTTTATAAAAAAAATTATATACAAATACTTATAACACGTCTTATAAGAAAAATTTATTTTAAAAAAAAACTTTAAAATATATTAAATATTAATTGTATTAMAAAAATTTTAAAAAATACATAATAATAATAATAATCATACAACAGGAAATCATACATAAATTATTTAAAATAGATAAATATATAAATAATTTTCCAATTAGTTTGCTTAAATAAAAAAAAAWTWAATAAATTAAATTGTGATCAAAAAAATATTATATATATATATATATGTTTAAAAATTTCATTCAWAAACAAAATTTTTATTCAACAAAAATTRTTTATTATATAATAATAATAATAATAATAATTTTTAAACATAAAACGTGCATATGCATCATCATCATTATTATCAATGATAAATGTAATTTTTTTWATAAWAAAAAAAATAACAAAATTATCAACAACAAAAAAACTGCATATATGACTTGAATTAATTATTTTGAAAAATATTTATATTATCACATTTAAAATGATAGCAACAAAATCAAAATTAAAATATTAAATAAATTCAAAAAACACTTTTACTAATACGATATAAAAAAAAATTTATATACAAATACTAAAATTCATAATATATTATCATTTTATTATTATTATTATTATTATTGCATAACAACAATATTATCATTTAGTTTAATCGGGAAATTATTATATAAATATTATAATACATTATTATAATAAACACTTTTATTATTATTATTATTATTATTATTTTATGTTTCATTGTCTATCATMTATATATATGCCATATATGTCACACACACACAAAAATTTCATGAATAAAATATTATATATAATAATAATAATAATAACTTTTGAATAACAATAGAAAATTTGCATTAAAATAGATAAAAAACATACATTTAAAATATAAATTTATGTGAGGGAATGGGTGGGTAAGCATTTAGTGTAGGGAGGGGAGGAGGGGGGGAACAGGTAGTAAAAATTTTTTAAGGACCCRCCAAAAAAAAAATTATATAACACCTGGGTAATATATATATTATATTTGTGAATGAAAAAAAGTTTATTATACATTAACATAAATTATTTTTGTTTTTTTTTTAATAGACACTAACTTTTAGACAACAAAAACAAAAAATTTAAAT